GGTGCTTTATTTAAGCTATGTCTTGTTTTATCCAAGCACACTTTCCAGTATGCTTACCTTGTTACGACTTACCTCCTCTCATATAATTGTTTAGCATGTGTTGATGGACTGTGGCTTTGTCATGGCACTTGAGGAGGGTGACGGGCTGTGTGTTCGTGCTTCATGGCCTTATTCAATTAAGCGCTCTACTCTTAATTTACTACTAAATCCTCCTTTAGGTTTTAGGTTTCATAAAAGCTTTCGTGTGGATAAAGGGTGCTCTTGGTGTAGAAAATGTAGCCCATCTCTTCCCACCCCATAGGTTACACCTTAACCTAACCTTTTTATGTGTTATAATTATGCTTACTTTTGCTCCTTTTTAGGGTTTGCTGAAGATGAGGTATATAGACTGGAGTAGCAAGAGTTGGTTTGTCGGGGTTCATGGATTATAGAACAGCCTCCTCTAGAGGGGTGTGAAGCACCGCCAAGTCCTTTGAGTTTTAAGCTGTTGCCAGTAGTGCTCTGGCGAATAGTCTAGTTCTTATGACTATTTGGGTTTAGGGCTAAGCATAGCGGGTTATCTAATCCCAGTTTGGGTCTTAGCTATCGTGTGATCAGAATATATTAATAAAGTCACTTTCGTAGTTTACTTTTGTTTTAATTACAGCTTTTTACAGCTTAATTAAGGTTTAACTTTATCTTGTATGGTTCTTTAACACGCTTTACGCCGTAGTTCTATTAATTCGGGTCAATCATGTGACCGCGGTGGCTGGCACGAAACTTACTCACCCTAATTAACATGGCTTAGTCACACTTTCGTTTATGGCTCAGCTTTTATCACTGCTGTCTCCCGTGGGGGCGTGGCTAAGCAAGGCGTTGTGAGCTGCTGGTGTGGCGTGCTTGACACCTGCTCCTTTTCTTTTTTTTTTTTAATTTATTTTTACATCTTTATTGGAGTATAATTGCTTTACAATGGTGTGTTAGTTTCTGCTTTATAACAAAGTGAATCAGTTATACATATACACATGTTCCCATATCTCTTCCCTCTTGTGTCTCCCTCCCTCCCACCCTCCCTCTCCCACCCCTCCAGGCGGTCACAAAGCACCGAGCTGATCTCCCTGTGCTATGCGGCTGCTTCCCACTAGCTATCTATCTTACTTTTGGTAGTGTATATATGTCCATGCCTCTCACTCGCTTTGTCACAGCTTACCCTTGCCCCTGCCCGTGCCGTGCCCTCAAGTCCATTCTCTAGTAGGCCTTTGTTTTTATTCCTGTCTTACCCCTAGGTTCTTCATGACATTTTTTTTTTTCTTAAATTCCATAGTGATTTAGGGGGCATTCTCACCGGGGTGAGGATACCTGCATGTGTAATTCTATTAAAAACTAATAGAAAGGCTGGGACCAAACCTTTATGTTCATGGGGCTAGTGGGCCCATGTAGACATTTTCAGTGTCTTGCTTTATGAGATGTTCGAGGAACTTTAACTTGCTGCACATAGGTGATGTTTGTATTACGTGGCTTATGTCAGATTTAGTATTAGATTTTTGATAAAATGGTTGGCAAATCTAGGGGGATGTCTGTCTATATGGGTGGTGAATATCTAAGTAGCTCATTTGTATGATAGGAAGGGGGTTGAGGTTGATCCATTGGGATATCTAACTGTCCTAAGCCGTGGGGGGAGTAGTAAAGTGCTATGTCCTGTAACCATTAACTGAGTGTACAACGCCAGTGGCTCTTGCCAAATAACAAATACATCCAAGTCCAGCTACAATTTGCTTGACTGTGTTAAGACCTTTTAAAGTCATAGCTGAGTCTAAAGCACTTTCCCCCACAAAAATAAAAAATACCAAATGTATGAAATCACAGTTATGTGTGAGCATGGGCTGATTAGAGATGTCTTATTCAATGGGAAAGAGTGGGCGGTTTTAGGAGAGATGGCCCCGAAGTAAGAACCAGATGTCTGATAAAGTTCATCAATGGAAACCCTCACAAGCCATGGGCCTGGAGCGAGAGGAGGGGCACCTGCTGAGCGGGTTGATGGTTTCACGCGGCCTGGCGATTAAGCTCGTGATCTAATGGACAGGATTCCAAACGTGTTGGCTTGGACCAATTTAACTCAATGTGCTATGTACGACCAATAATGTATATGTACTATGTAATATTAATGATATAATGTACATGCTTATTAGGCATGTGGTAAATAATGCAATGCACGATTATACATACAATGTACGTGCATATACACATGGGAAAGAGACATTATAGCGGTTATGTGGCGGTAACAGACATGCACAATACACATAGCATGTATGTAGTAGAATGAATTATTTTTAGTACTGACATAGCACTGTAGTTTTATGAATGTCTTATAATATATTTTTTTCAGGGAATAGTTTATATAGAATTTCAGCTTTGGGTGCTGGTGGTGAAGTTTAGTGCTTCTTCCAAGTGTCTCGGACAGATATGTTGTTCTCCTTTTCCGGTTTACAAGACCGGGGTATTGTGTTATACTACAAAGACTCTTCATTTTAGGAACTTGTTTTCAATGAGACTCGTTACTGGTATTAACATTAGGATTAAAAGAAAGTATAAAATGGATGCAAGTTGTCCGATAATCCTATATGGGTGTTCCACGGGTTGTCCTCCGAGCCATGTTAGCGCTAGTAAGTTTGCTACTAGTACTCAAAATAAGAACGGACTGAAGGGCTGGAATATCACGCTTCGTTGTTTGGATGTATGGAGAATTGGAATAAATGCCAGGATTAGGATTGAGAGCAGCAGGGCCGAGACTCCTCCTAGCTTGCTGGGGATTGATCGTAAAATTGCATACGCGCATAGAAAACACCATTCTGGCTTCATATGTGGTGATGTGCTGAGTGGGTTTGCTGGGGTGTAGTTGTCAGGGTCTCCGAGCAGGTCGGATGAGAATAGAGCTAATATTAGTGAGGCTAAGATTAATAGTAAGGCACCTAGGATATCCTTGATTGTATAGTAAGGGTGGAATGGGATTCTGTCTATACCAGATGGAATTCCTATGGGGCTGTTGGACCCTGTTTCGTGAAGGAATAAAATAGGTGGACGGCAGCTAGTGCTGTGATGATGAAAGGGAGAACGAAGTGGAAGGCGAAGAATCGTGTTAGTGTTTCTTTATCTACAGAAAAGCCACCTCAAATTCATTCGACGAGGGTAGTGCCGACATACGGGATTGCTGAGAGTAGGTTTGTGACGACAGTTGCACCTCAGAATATGTGTCCTCAAGGTAGGACGTAGCCTATGAATGCTGTGGCTATGACTATAAGTAATAGGATAATTCCAATATTTCATGTTTCCTGAAAGGTATAGGACCCATAGTATAGGCCATGTCCTACGTGGGCATAACGGCAGATAAAAAATACGGAAGCTCCCTTTGCGTGTATGTATCGAATGACTCAGCCATAGTCGATGTCTCGGCAGATGCGTGTTACTGATGAGAAGACAGCTGTTGTGTCTGGTGTGCAGTGTATTGCTAGAAACAGACCTGCTAGGATTTGTAGGATTAGGCAGACCCCTCGTAAGGAACCCAAATTTCATCATGGTGAAATATTTGATGGGGTAGGGAGGTCAATGAATGTATTGTTGAGGATTTTTACTAGTGGGTGGGTTTTTCGGGTGTCGGTCATTGGTGTTCTTGTAGTTGAATGACAACGATGATTTTCATGTCATTGGTTATGGTTGGAGTCCGTGTGAGAATAATGATGACATATATTGTATTCATTTTAAGTATTATTTTTGTGATTGGTTTTGTGCGGGTTTCTTCAAAACCTTCACCTACACACACACACACACACACACACACACACACACACACACACACACACACTGGAATATTACCCAGCCATAAAAAGAATAAAATAATGCCATTTGGGGCAGCTTGGATGGACCTAGAAATTATCATACTAAGTGAAGTAAGTCAGAAAGAGAAAGACAAATACCATATGATGTCACTTATATGTGGAATCTAAAAAATAGTACAAGTGAACTTATTTACAAAACAGAAAGAGACTCACAGACACAGAAAACAAACTTATGGTTATAAAAGGGGAAAGGTGGGGGAGGGATAACTTAGGAGTATGGGATTAGCAGGTGCACACTAGCATACAAAAAATAGATAAACAACAGGGATTTACTGTAGAGCACAGGGAGCTACATGTATAACCGAAACATTTTGCTGTGCACTGGAAACCCACTCAACAGTATAAATCAACTATGCTTCATTAAAAAAAACAAACAGGAAAAAAAAACAAACAAACAGGGCTTCCTTGGTGGCGCAGTGGTTGAGAGTCCGCCTGCCGATGCAGGGGACACGGGTTCGTGCCCCTGTCCGGGAAGATCCCACATGCCGCAGAGCGGCTGGGCCCGTGAGCCATGGCCGCTGAGCCTGCGCGTCCGGAGCCTGTGCTCCGCAACGCGAGAGGCCACAACAATGAGAGGCCCGCCTACCGCAAAACAAACAAACAGAAAGAAATCACTGCCTAATTAAGATAAAGCTGCTGGAATCAAAGGTGAGTTGATACTGGAAAAGTAGGGCTAGAGACCACCAGAGACATCAAACCCTGGGGAGGGGTGAGAGAGGAGCCCCTGCTACTTCTCCTGGAGCCCAACAATCCTAACTCCTGGGCTTTTTCCCATGTTCAACACGTTCATATTCCTGGCCTCTTGTTGCTAGTTCCCCCTCCCTCTCCCTTTATTCTGCCCCCAGTGTCTTCTTTAGTCCAAAATAAGTGGCTTCTCTCCTCCCCGCACTCTCTAGGCCCCTCTCCTCCCTTCGTCCAGGCTCCACGCTCCTTCCTTCTCTCTCCCCCACCTGCCACCTGCATTTATCCCTCCCCTGCTGTGCTCAGCTACAGAAATGCCAAATTCCTAACACCTAGCTACATCTATGTTATCTCGCCCTCCTTTTCCCTCTAACAAGGTGCCTCCATGCCTTGGCCCCGCAAGTGTCCCTGGTCCCTGCACAGCTCGGGGAGTGGCAGAGTCCAGCCCTACTGCAGACGCTCATAGATGCGGGTGAGCACCTCCAACTTCTTCTCCAGCTCCCGGGCCTGCTGCCTCAGCCTTTCAGCTGACTCTGTCTTTGCCCCCTCATGCAAGTGCTTTGCCTGTTTCACCAGGAAGGCCGCTTCCATCAGAAGGGAGACACCTGCAGTGCCCGCACCCACAATCCGGGCTCCTTTGGTCATTGCCAGAGCCGTGCCTTTGAAAGTAACCTCTTCCTGCTGGCTGCTTTGGACTGGGATTACTCCACTGGTGATGAAGACGTTTGCATCCGCTGCTAAGGCACGGTTGCTTTTGACCGTCTCCATGGCACGGGTATTCATTTCGATGTGTTGCACAGCTTCTGTGGATTTCTTTGTTGTGCTAACAGTTCGGGGGCTGATCTTAAGTGCCTCCAGGAAGCCAGTTGACACCAGGCGACTAACTTCGGTTTTTGCTGACAACGTGCTGGCGTGTTCCACAATGCTGGTGGGCACACCGGTCACAGCAACCACTGCTCCCAGCCCTAACCCAGTGGCCGAGAGTGCCAGACCCGCCCCCGCTGTCATGGGTGCCAAAGCCAGGCCAAGAATGGTCAGGACACCAGACACAGCGCCAGTGGAGTTGGCCACAATGTTGGAGAGGGTGCAGTCCCTGTGGACCTTGTCAACCTTGTCTGCGAGTGCGTGGAGCTTTCCTATGAGCTCCTCTAGCTCTCATTTTACCAGAGGAAACCTGTTCAAAACCTCTTCCTGTCCAGCTGGTCTTTTCGGAGCGTGACTTGGTACTCCACGGCCAAGTCTGTTTTTAGCTCACTCAGATATTGATGCAGTGCATCTGGGTCTTCCCTGTAACAATGAAGGTCAAGGGATTAGAAAGACAGTTTGCTTGTCCATAAACTAGGCTCAACAAGATCTATTCTGTAAATCACAGAGATTTTGTTATAAATCAAATAGAAAAGAATTTCACAAACGTAAATTTTTCTCTTTCAACATAAAACACATATTTCTGTATCTTGTAGATGCTCCATATACTTATTCAATCATGGAATAAATAAGCAAAAGTCATCTTAGGATATTTTAACTTAACATAGGTATTTGAGGGAATTCCCTGGAGGTCCAGTGGTTAGGACTTTGCGCTCCCACTGCAGGGGGCACAGGTTCAATCCCTGGTTGGGGAAGTAGGATCCCACAAGCTACGTGGCACGGACAAAAAAAAAATGGTATTGGATAAAGACGCCTCAGAGGCAGGTCAACACAATCACTTCCAAAGAGTAGGCAGAGTGGGAACTCCACAGAGAAGCACAGAGAAGTGGGATTGGAGCAGAAAAACCTTCATTCAGAGAACCTTAGTGCGTAGTGAGGAGTCAACCTGCTCTTTGCCCTTGGCTACTGGGAAGTGGTCCCTGAGCCCCTAGAATATTCTGGCTGATAGGAGTGTCCTCGTCTGCCTGGGCCTCTGGCCACTGGACAGTCTAACAGGGTGACATGTGATGGGGCCTCTGGGTCACGTGGTATCACATGTGACCTCTGGAGGAGCTGGACACTAGGGCATTAGTCTGACCTCCGGGAGGGCAGGAGACAACAGCTCAGCTGACTCCATACGCTGAGGGTCCTGTTGAAAAAGGTTCACTCCTCGGTCAAGTTTCAGTCAGGCTCTTCTGAGCCCTCTTCTCCAATAGGCCTCAACCTCCGCCCTTTGTGTCCTGTCCTTCACGGCCTGTCTTGCCCAGTCTCAGCAAAACTTCGTCCAAGTCAGTTTAGTGAGAAGCCTTCCCACTGTTTAGATCTTATCATGTTTGATATCTGATGAAACTCCTCATCTCCCACCTTTGATGCACACGTCCTTTACTTGCTTTTAGCAAGAATCCCGTCTGCAAATCTCAACAAGAACCCCCCTGCCCTCGATGTCTCCTCTCAGTGATTTTCCATCCCACGCCCCTCACTCTGATCATTGGCTACCAATCCCCACTCATTTTGCTGTGTTCGGACGTGCGTCCATCTGTCTCCTCTGCTGCGATGGTCTTCACGCCTATCACGATAGTCCTGAAGAGACTCTTCCTTATCGTTTTAACAAGAGTCAGAATATACTTCTTTAAACAGGGTGAACGCCCCTGGCGGGCAGTGCTCCGTGTGCCCTGCCACACACTGAATCCAGGACAGGGACACGGCCTGAGGACAGTGGAAGCTTCCTGTGTGGAACCCGCCCAGACTCTGCTCTGTGGCTGATGGGAACCGGCATCCTTCCCTGTAATAAACCGTAACTGGGATCGTGACAGTTTTCAGGGAGTTCTGTGCCTCCTTCTAGGGAATTCTCACACCTGATGGTAGCTTTGGGGATCTCCCAAATTTGCCATTGGGGTCAAATGTAAGGACAGTCCTGGGGACCGTGCCTCAGCCTCTGCAGACTGGCTAATTCTGCGTACTTAGAGGTTTTTTAAACCTAAAGTCAGAGCTAGAAGGAACCTTAACGATCATTTTGCCTGGCAACTGCTGTCTTCCAAGCCTGATGCCCTTGGCCTTCCCAGCTGAAGGTCACTAGGTCCATCGACTGCCCCAGTTGACTGGGAAGCAGGTGATATGCTATTAACCCTCGTTCCCCTTGGACTCTCCAGCCCGCCTCACTGATTCCTGACCCATCGCCCAGCACCCCCGACCTCTCAGGGGTCACCAGCCTAACTCATACCTTAGCTGGTGACAACTTCACATGCCTGCACACCAAGGCCATGTGCGACTTTATGGAACCTCTCAAAGATTCAAGAGACTTTAGGAAACATCCACATGAACTGCTAAGCCTAGAGAGACCTGCGTTCACACAAGCTGGTGGAGGAAGACTTTTCCTCTTTGGTGGGGACTTGTGAAGTCTCGTCAGAATCCCTCAGATGACAGAAAATCGGCAGCCACTCATTGTGATGCTGGAGGTCTCACTAAGCCACACGGCCTTCCCACTGGTCAGGGCTACTCTATGTAGATTGGAAGAGGGTCCCAGAGGGCAATGGAGAACCCCAGGTCCCAGGCAGGGTGTGGAGGACACAGTCACCCAGGGCCCTCTATGCTCAGCATGAGGGGATCGAGTCAGGGAGGGAAGAAATGTCCCCTCTCCCACTCACAGGACCTCTGCTAGGGTCACAGCCCCTTCAGTTTTGTATCCTAGGGACCCATTCGCCTCACTCTAGTCCTGGCTCTGCTGCCCAAGCCTTCCTACCAGTCCTCCAACCTGGACCCCTCTGCTCCATCCTGACCCCTGGGTCTGACCCTGGTCCAGGCCTCCCTGGGCCTTTGGACGAGATGACTGCACTTGGTTCCCCGCCTCTGACCCTGCAGTTCACTCTGAGTCCATCAGATTGAATTGCTATTCCCACTGGACACATGACAAATCTGAGACTCCAACTCTTAAGCTCAGAGTCCCAGAGCTGGGCAGGGGTAGAGTCAGGATCCAACCCAGCTCCATGCAATTCCACTCCAGCCTCTCTGCCTTATGGGCCAGCAGGATCCTGCAGTGTTGGTACACTTCCTAAGATGGGGAATAAAAGGGCTCCAGCCAGAATCCCCGGGAACGCAAACTGGTGGTGTCAGGATTTTCTGACTTGTCCTAAATAGAGTCCTGCTTGGGTCTCATCTACAGGAAAAAGACCCTTGACTCCTGTCTCTTCCCAACAGCTTTTGAGAGTTAACATTAGGAACCTGGGCCACAGCAGTGAAAGCTCTGAATCCTAACCACTAAACCACCAGGAAATTCCCTTTAGACACTCTTTTTCAAAGCAGTTGTCTAAATAGTGGTGGCGCAGTGTTGGATCCTCAGGTTCCCTGAAATAGAATACTCTGGACCTCAATGGCCACCTTTATTCACGTAGGGAAAGGATTTTTCCATTTGGAGGTGAAGCTGTTGGAGTCACAGGGTCTGGAGAAAAACTGAGGAAGCTATAGGAAGAGACAAACCAAAACCGGATAGATCCAGCTGGAACCAAGGTGGCAAGGTATCTGACCTCACCAGACCCTCAGTCTCATTCTAGGCTGATTTTACTACATTAGCTACTAGATGACACACCTACGGATGACCATGACCGGAAGGTGCAGACCAAAAAAGGATCAAAAGGACGTGGCACCCCATTTCCAGAAAATCCTGACCACTTCCAGCAGAGTCTGGAAAGCACCCGATAAATGAATGTTTTCATGTTTTGGCAGTGAAACAAACAAATATTCACATTAAATGGGAAAAAGTCTGTAATGACTATAAATAAGCTCAGGTCAGTACAGGACAAGATTACTGCCCAGGTGAGTTACCAAACACATGTGTGTGTTTCAGAAATTTGGAGGTGATAGAATTGCTGATAAGAGACTGGCGACCAGTGTGTCTATATGTGTGGGCTGGGACTTGATGTAAAATCGATTTCCCTCTATATCCACACAAAGAGGCATTATTCTTATATCACAGAAGAAGAAAGTGAGACTCAGACAGGATAAGGGACCACCCAAGGCCCGCAAGCAGAAAGGTCAGAGGTTGAATCCAAGGCCAACCATCAAGACAATTCTTTGAAGCCTCCTTGTATTTAAAAAACTGTGATTTCTTCATTCTACTCTGTAGTATACTATGGGGCTTCTTTGCAACTAATTTCTGTAGTGTATACAGAAGTAGAAATACAATGTTGTATACACGAAACTTATATAACGTTATAACCCGATGTTACCTCAATTAAAAACAAAGTTTCAGACCACACGCCATTGTGTAAAACTACCATGGGAGGGAGAGGATTCCCCCTGCTAATCACAGACACTCCAGGCTGGGCATCGGAGGGCGATTCTCAGGTGGGGGAGGGGTGGGACCCCTGGCTCTGATCCTATGATCAATCCCCATCACTTCTCTCTTCTCCAGGCTGGCCCCAGGGGACCCAGCTCCCCACTGGCTCCACTGGACCCAAGCTGAACTGTTGATAAACAGGAGATCACCTTGTTCCGGAGGAGAGTTGATCCTCAGGAATTCACCAGCCCAGCCCTCCCTCGAGGATCCCAGTCTGCTGGGATGGCGGCTCCTGGCTTCTAATCTGCTCTCCCCTCCCTTACCCTTCAGCTTGACTAATTTGCTCTCGAGGGCAGCTCCAGGGAGGACGTGATTTGGTTCCTGGGCAATGCAGTGATGGGGCAGAAGCAACTCTGAGGAAACGAGACTCAAGAAAACGCAGCGCTCATGTGGGTGCGTGGTGATTGCTTAGGTTTTTTTCTTCCCCCTTCACTCAGGGAGAAGGGAACCCAGGGCTTACATGGAGGAAACCCACGGCACTAAATCTGTGCATTAATTGGATGGGGGTGGGTGGGGGAAATAACTGAGCACCCGCGTCTCTGCAGGGGTATTGAGATCCATAGAACCAGTACCTGCCTGAGGCAGTTACACCTGGTAAGCAGGTGCCCTGACAGAGCTGCAGGCAGTTGCGGGGGGGGGGGGGGGGGGGGGGGGGGGGGAGGGGGGGGGGGGGGGGGGTTTCAACCTGAAACTAACAAATTCCAGGTAGAGGGGACAGCAACCACACTTAGGCAGGACCTGCTATGTGGCAGGCGTTGGCCCACGCCACGAACACACATTACATTTGATCCTCAAAACAACATAGGGAAATATTATTCTCATTTTACAAGTGAGGTCAGGCAAGGTGCTCCAGGTCACACAGGTGGGAGGTGGCAAAGGCCAGGCTGGGGCTCAGTTCAGGGTCCACTGAGCCTCACAGAGCGGCTGGGCTGGCAGCAGGGCGAGAGCTGAAGGCAACAGGCTCTGTGGTACCGCCCCAGGGTCTAAGAGCAGGGGGGGTTGCTGGGACAAAGGGAGAGGCCAGGAGAAGCCTCCAGGGATGCTGGCGGACCTCCTCTCCCCCTGGCCCGGCCTCCAGGATTCCCATCTGCTGCACCCCACTCCCCATGGGCTGTCCTGTCCTCACTTCTGAGTCACTTGCTGGATGGTGGTGCAGGACTAGGGGGTGAGGAAGTGAGCATCTTGGTCCTGGCTCCCTGGGGGGGGCGGGGCCGGGAAGGAGGCTGTGGGGACAGACCCCTGGGTTTGGGGAGCTCCTCTTGGCCCCTCGTGGGGGCTCGAGGATGCTTATCCATCCCGTTCTTGGTTCTTGATTCCTCTGTTGGTTAACTCAGCCTGGAGGCACCACCCTCAATTCCAGGTCACAAGTAGGAAGCACCAGAGAAGAGGCAGCTGGCTACCTAAGTAGCAGAAGGTTACTGTGCTCACGGTGGCAGCAGCTGGGGTCTCAGAGCCTTCCCTTCAGCTCGCCTGCCTGTGTCAGGCTGGAAGGAGGTGTCGCTTCACCCTTGGGAAAGAGAAAACAGACTGTGGGCTTGATCATGAGTGAGCAGTGGCTGCAGGGAACAGCGAGGGGCGAGCTCTCTGGTGGGTTCCCTGCCACCGGTGCCACAGTGGACTTAACCCAGAGAGGTTCTCTGTCTCCTGGGCTCTGCTGGCCGCTAGTTAAGGAAAGTTACTCATCTCCCGTCAGCTGCCTCCAAGTCCAGTCAGAGTCCTGCTCTCCTTTTGCGGCACAAGGAGAAGATAATCAGACGGGAGACAGCCATCTGCAAAGTTATAGAAGTGAAGCAATAAAACCAAATACAGAAAAAAAGATAAGAAGGGAATACTCTAGAAATTACGTGAGGTTGGGGGCACTAGTGTTTACTAATGGGTAATAATTAATAACGATCCAGTGTCAATGATGCGCAGGGCTCCTGAAACTTTGTTCAGCCCTAGTGATGTAATGGTATTAGGAGAAGGTGGGGAGCGGTATAAGAAGAAGGATAAAAGTAAGTGAAATTATTAGCTTTCCTGGAAGGAAGTAAATAAATAATATCAAAAATGGAGTACCTAATGTTTATTAGCTACTGTGGTTGATGATGCGCCACTTTGCATCAGGCACCATTCTAAGCGCCTGGTAGGCATTCATTCACTTTTAGTTCTCACAATGACCCTGGAAGCAAGGAAACTGGAGCTCAGAGAGGTTAAGTAATTTACTCAAAGCACCCAGCTAGTGGCAGAGCCAGAATTCAAGTCCAGGTTCCCGTCTCCGGTGCACTCTCACACTGTTCTCTCTCCCAATGTAAGAAGTTATTTTAACACATTGATTAACTGCCTAAAGAAAAAGCAAAAAACTTAAAGTGGTTTTCCCTGGGAAGGGCTGAGCAGAACCCACTGTGTGAGTCGATTTGTTTTACAGATATGCACTTATTATTTTGGATTGTTTTAACTCTAGGACAGCAGAAGTCCCTTTAGAGTAGTTGGCAACCCACCACCTTAAGGATGATGGAAGGAGCTGGATCAAGTGCCAGTAAGAAATGAGCCTGATGTGTCCTGATGTGACAACGGTCAGTATAGGAGACACGTTCGTGTTGATGAAACCGAGTTCTCTAAGAAAAGTAGGGATAGGAACAGGGGTTCAAGCAGAATATCGGAGTGAACTGTCACCTTAAACAGATACATTTTCCAGCCGCATCTTGCCCACCCACATAGGCACCCATGGGCTTCTGTCCACTCAAGGGAAGCAAGACTCCTTGCAGGGGAAGTGAATTCCACAGGCCGGCATACCTGCTACTCCAAAGGCAAGGATGCTCTCGAAGATGTTCAGAGCGGTGTTTAGAAGGGGCACCCACGTATAATAATAATAATAATAATAATAGATAATGATGACTATGATCATGTTTTTAGGGCAGGTTGAGTCTGTGAAAGGCCATGAGTTCATAATAATATTCAAATGAGAAGAGTTTAGATAAAGCGTGTCCAAAGAGGTAGATATAAAGGTCAAAAAAGGTAGCTATGCTCCAAAGAGGTGAGTATAACGGGAAATATTTCACTCTTAATTGAATTTAATAAGAAGAGGAGTTTTAAAGTGTATGGGGATATTCCCTTCTGTTTATTTACATGACTATTTATAAAGGATTGAGGAAGAAAACAAAGAAACAGCCTCTGACATCCCAGGCCGGCCTGGGATCACAACAGGGCGATGCTATTCTCCGGTTGGATGTAAAGACTCTCAGAGAACACCAGCCTCAGACCACGGAGCCCTGAGAGCATGAGGAAATGAGACAGCAAACACCCATCACTGTGATGCCACCAACACAACACCCCCTCCCTTGGCTGCAAAGCATGACTGTCCTTCTTTACCGATTATACCTTTCTCCTCACTCTGTCTCCCCTCTCCATAGATGGATTTACTGAGACACCTTCAGTGTGAACTGCCCCCCATTCTCTGCAGCACCCGATCTACAGAGGCCCCATTTCCTTAGAGCCTCCCCCAAATGACCTGACCTAAGCCCCAATCCCAGAATCTTTCTTTCTAACGCCTTCTTTCTGCGATGCCCAGGGTTCTCCCTCAGGAAGAGTAACAAACAGCTTGTCCACTATGGGAGTGTGCCTGAGGCTGCAGGCACTGACAGTGTGGGTGGAGAGAATACACACAGGCAGGCCGCCAGGGGTAAGGATGCCTAAAGTAGGTTCCTCTCCCTTTCCCTTTCCAAGCCGCCCTTGCTCTGCTCACTCCCTGGCTGGTCCCTTTCCAGCTCCTGTGCTTTGTTCTCAGACTTGATCTTAACAACACAGTGTTCCTGTGTCCTTGGATGCTTTCCTGCCCACCTGCTCTCATGCAGTTCCACTTCCTCCAAAGACATTCGCCTCCCCCCTCGACCCTTCTGCCTCTCGTCTCAGGGCCTGGACATCAGGTATGTGTTGCTGGGCCCCTCTGCGGCGAGGGGTGACTGTATGACCCAGTCCTGGCTAACAAAGCACAGAAGAACTCAGCAGAGGGGGGCCTGGAGGCTCCCTGCTGTAAGGGACAGGTGGGAGAGGAGAGCTGGCTCGTCCCCTGACTCCTTCTCTGCCTTCTCTGCCTCGAAGCTGCACGAGCCCGGGAGCCAGGGCAGCCAATTGAAATCGTGAAACACAGGGACCAGGAGGCAAGGGGGGGCGGAGGAGGGCTCGGGCAGAAAGGCTGGATCCTGGATGACTCCAAACACCTGTAAACGGGGCTGCGCCCTCAACCTCCTCCTTTGGTCCTTCTCTGCCGCTCTCGGCCGGCCCTGACCCTCGGGTGCAGCCCCAGCTGGGTGTGGATGCTGGACGGTGCTCCCTCCTGCTGGATTACTCTCCTCCGTTAGCCTCCGGTCGATAACTTCCCGGAATAGTTGTTGGTGGGAGAAGCCTGTCCCCACCCAACTGCATAGCCAGGCAAGGCCTCCCCTCCCTGGGAGCCGACAGAGATTCTCACCAAGCACCTCCCTGCATGTAGCTGCAGGGCATCCTGCTTGGTCAGGGAAAGGAGGGGTTAAGACAGGATCAAGTTCAGAGTCCTTAGCCCAGCCTCCAGGCCCTCCTACTGCTCTAGTTCCGGTCTTCTCACCACTTCCTGCTTCCCTGGGCCTGGTCCAGGTGCCTGGAGGACTCCCAGCTGCCTGGCCTCGGATTCCCCCCCAGCCCCCGGGCGTTTGCTCGGACTGTTCCTCCCCCTGCAGTGCCTTTCCCCACCTGCTTCACCAGGTGAAATGTTACTGTTCTTGGAGGCCCAGCGCCTCCTGCCGCTGCTTCCTCCCCCCAGTTCCTCCACCGGCTCCCAGGGAATGTCGCACTTTCCTGGTCGTGGTTCTATTTGTGTGGAGTTTCTTCAGCTCTGAGCACCCCTCGGGGCCCTGTCTGTCGTCTGCTGCACCTTCTGCTCTAGGGCCTCCGCGGCCCCTCCGCCCTCCCAGGCACAGCCTGGCTAAAATACGAGGTGTGGGACCCGTTAGGGGGACATGAGACAACCAGCTTCTCCGTGACACGGCACAACCCCTGTTTTCACCTGCGGTCGAGTAATTCCATTTGTTTTCCTAGTCTATCTCGACGAAAAGCTCTTTCGGATAGGTAGTGCTGTCACATTTCTGAACGTTTCTGTTTACGGGCATCCCTTGCTTTCCAAAAGATCATCCTCGGCCAGTAAACTTTGATGAAAGGCCTACATCCGCATCTATGGCATCTTGGTTTGCTAAAGGTTTCGTAGAAACACTCTATATTCAGGTAGCAGGAAACACCTGTATTTCCTCATGTCTCCTTACTCCAGCCATCATGAGATATATATATATATAAAATGGCTGGAGTAAGGAGACATGATATATATATATATTTTTTTTTAAATAAATTTATTTATTTATTTTTGGCTGCACACGGGCTTTCTCTAGTTGCGGAGAGCGGGAGGCTACTCTTCATTGTGGTGCACGGGTTTCTCATTGCGGTGGCTTCTCTTGTTGTGGAGCATGGGCTCCAGGGCGCATGGGCTTCAGTAGTTGCAGCACACGGGCTCAGTAGTTGTGGCTCACGGGCTCTAGAGCGCAGGCTCAGTAGTGGTGGCGCACGGGCTTAGTTGCTCCGCGGCATGTGGGATCTTCCCAGACCAGGGCTCGAACCCGTGTCCCCTGCATTGGCAGGCGGATTCTCAACCACTGCGCCACCAGGGAAGTCCCAAGGATGTTTTATTTTTAATGTTTAATTGGAATAAAATATACAAAACATAAAATTTATCATTTAAACATTTTTAAGTGTACCGTTCAATGGCATTAAGTGCATTCACATTGCTGTGCAAACAGCATAACCATCCAAATCGCAGAACGTTTTACGTCTGGCAAAACTGAAACTCCGTACTCATTAAGCTCTAACTCCCCTTCCCCCCTCCCACAGCCCCTGGCAACCAGCATTTTACTTTCTGTCTCTGTGAATTTGACTTCTCTAGGTGCCTCATAGAAGCAGAACCATATGGTACTTATCTTTTTGTGACTGACTTATTTCACTTAGCATAATGTCCTCAAATTTCATCATGTTATAGCACATGTCCGAATGTCCTTTTTTAATGTCAGTACTATTCCATTGTAGGTATACACCACATTTTTCTTATCCTATCATCCACTGATGGAAGCTTGGGTGACTTCACCTTTGGGCTATTGTGAATAATGTTGCTATGAACAGGAATGTACCAATATGTCTTCTAGACTCTGCTTTCAATTAGTTTTAGTCTATAGCCGGAAGTGGAATGGCCGATCACGTGGTAATTCTACACTTAAGTTTCTGAGGCACCGTCATACTCATACTGTTTTCCACAGCGGCTAGATGCTGTTATTTTTAAGGCCATATTTTAGCACAACAGTGAGACCAGACCAGGATCTCCCTGGTTGCCTGACTGCCAGGAGGATAGAGGTTGGTGGTGCCGCCT